GCTGGACTAGATGGACCCCTGGTCTGATCCAGCAGGGCTCTTCTGATGTTCTTAGGAAGACCTCGGCCTCTCTGCCCTGTTGTTGGCCCTCCAGAGGAACTGGGTGGCCACTGTTTGACCAGGATGCTGGACTAGATGGACCCCTGGTCTGATCCAGCAGGGCTCTTCTGCTGTTCTTAGGAAGGCCTCGGCCTCTCTGCCCTGTTGTTGGCTCTCCAGAGGAACTGGTTGGCCCCTGTGTGAGACAGGAGGCTGGACTAGATGGACCCCTGGTCTGATCAAGCAGGGCTCTTCTGATGTTCTTAGGAAGGCCTCGGCCTTTCTGCCCTGTTGTTGGCCCTCCAGAGGAACTGGTTGGCCCCTGTGTGAGACAGGAGGCTGGACTAGATGGACCCCTGGTCTGATCCAGCAGGGCTCTTCTGATGTTCTTAGGAAGGCCTCGGCCTCTGTGCCCTGTTGTTGGCCCTCCAGAGGAACTGGTTGGCCACTGTTTGACCAGGATGCTGGACTAGATGGACCCTCACTGGTCTGATCCAGCAGGGCTCTTCTGATGTTCTTAGGAAGGCCTCGGCCTCTCTGCCCTGTGGGCCCTCCAGAGGAACTGGCTGGCCCCTGTGTGAGACAGGATGCTGGACTAGATGGACCCTCACTGGGCTGACCCAGCAGGGCTTTTCTTATGTTCTTATATACAGTGCCATCCAAATCAGAGTTACACCCCGCTAAGCGCATTGTCTTCAACAGACTTAGAAGGGTGTAACTGTGCTCAGGGTGGGACTGTTAGTGTGTGTTAAGCCAGCACTTCACCTCTACTGGAAAGTGGTCTAAGAGGGACATGGGCCTTTCCGATCCCATCCAGTTATTTCCTGGTGTTCTTTTGGGCCCAGCCAGGACGCAATACAAAAGACACACGAGGCCTTCCTTCACAGACGGTGGACTGCACCTCCCTTCCTAAATTGAGCTAATGCAGCACCAGTAAGGAGACAATACACTACAGTTTGGTGTAGTGGTTAAATGCGTGGACTCTAATCTGGGAGAACTGGGTTTGATTCCCTACTCCTCCACTTGCAGCTACTGGATGACCTTGGGCAAGCCGTAGTTCTGCTAAGAGCTGTTCTTGAAAAAGAGCAGTTTCTGTCAAGAGATCTCTCAGCCCCACCCACCTCACAGGGTATCTGTTGTGGGGAGGGGAAGGGAAAGGAGTTTGTAAGCCTCTCTGAGACACCTTTGGGTAGTGAAGGGTGGGGTATAAATCCAATCTCTCTTCTTCTCTTCTTATTGTGAAACGGTTAACATTGCCAGACCACAAATTGGTGAATCCCCAAATGGTCCTCTTGGAACTGCTCCAAAGGCCTCCCCCCTGCACAGAAATATGATTCTGCTTTGCAGTTCCAGAAATTCCCCCCACACAGCAGCTCCCCCCCTCGCTGCTCTCCATGCTAGAGGGGATTGTTCTATAGCAAATTAAGGCAGCCCTTGACTGGCTAGATTGGGGGGGGGGAATCATCCGCTGTAGCTTTTGCTTTCAGTTTGCACAGCATCTTGTGCTTTGGGCATTTTCTTTCCTTTCAGCAACTTTTTTTTTGCATTTATGAAGGGGGGGAAAAGAACCTCCGTGGATTTCTGAGAATTGACATGTTTGTGTTCTTTTCTTCTAGCTGAGTTCTCCGTACTCAACAGACTGACAATCAGATTGGGAAGGCTCTACAGGGAAGGGTGTATATGTTTAAAAAAAAAACAGCATTCCAAAGAAAACCTCGTTTGTCTTTGCAAATTCATGTTTCCTGGAAACAAATACGTGACTTTCTTTTTCGTTCTTTCCTAAATAGTTCAAATGGATATCTGTAAGCCAAGGAGATATCAGTAGATTTCAGGTCTTTGTAAACGGAACCGCAGGGAATAAAAGATGGGGAAACGAATGTGAAACGGACAAATTAGTTGCAGCAGAACTGATAGCCTTAAACTTTCACTCTCAGGAACTCAGATGCAAAGAATGATGCTAGTAAGCTGTTTCTTCTGAAATTCAACGTGCTTTCAGTGAATCTAATGATATGTGTATATCAGCAGATCGGTTCAATTTTTGCTAAGTTTTTATTACTCTGATACTTCAATATTTGCACCAAATCATCACTTGCAAGTCGTATTTCTTAACATAGTAAATCCCTTAGTAAAATGTGCAGAACAACTTTGAGAACAACTGTTGACACAACCTGAAAACTACAAAATCCATAATGCATTGTGACTATGAGCAAAACATGTTTATGTGACAACACCCATATGCCACAGCACCTGCTGACACCTTTCCTTGCTCCACGAAGTATTTTTAGATAACGGGCAGGGCCAAATGGGGCTTTTCCCAGGCGGGCTTTTGATTGGCCATTGGAGCTTTGACTGGTTGTGCATTTTTTTTAAAAAATGTTGCTTTGGCAACAACTTCACTGTCTGACTGAAGGTAAGCCGTGGCAGCCATTTTGTGGCTGGTTCCGCCTCCTGCAGCAGCCATTTTGTGCCACGCCCACCACGCTGTGTCAGAATTCCAAAGGTATGGAAAAATATAGACAGATGTGTGCTCGATGCCCACAGAACAATACAGTAACAAAAGAGACTAGATTAAAGCCATAACATCATTTAGTGTCTGGTAATGAAAAACAACCACTTATTCCTTCATAGAAAAATTGCAAAGGTCAATGAAATTACACAGAGCAGTCTGCTCCAGACTCTCTCAGTCTATATCCTCCTAACAGTCTTGTATTCTCAAAAGCAGTCTGCTCCAAATTCAATCTCTCTCTAAACACTTATTCCGGGTATATATGCCTCACTCATACCTCTGTGCATAGTCTGGTTCCATTTGACTTTGGCAGCGGCAGCGGCAGACTTAAAAATAAGTGAGGAGACCTTGCCCTAGTAGATTAACAGAAAAGTAAATCAATGAATGTGTCAACTTGAAGGTAACACTGAATGTGAGATTCCTATATAGGATTTGTTCCTGAGGAAAGACCAGATGTCTGAAATACTTAAATATCCGGAATCGGGTCATTTCGTAGAAAAAGAGGTGCAGGAGCTCATTAGCATAACTCATTTGCATATGCCACACCCCCTGACATCACCGGAAGTGTGTCAGAAGGCAACACCTACTGTTCAGGCTCCACTGGACTGTTTTGGATTGCTATCTATTGGGGGGGGGACGTGCAGTTCTGTCCTCACAGAGGAGGGAAAGCTTGTACCTGAATAAAACTTGGTCTTAAAGGTGCCACTGGACTATTTGGGATTGCTAGCTATGGGGGGGGAATGCACAGATCTGCCCTCAGAGGAGGGAGAGCTTGTACCTGAAGGCAGGCCGGGGAGGGGGCTCTGCAACTTACCTGGCTGCTTCTTGCTCCTCATGGCCCAACTGAGGGCTGCTGGGAGCAGGGAGCGGGGCTTGTTGCATGTGCCCGCCCCCTGGGCTCCTTAGTGCTGGAGCTCCGGTGCGCTCCCGCAGGAAATGACCCCTGTGCGGATTAGGGGTTAAAAGAGAGATTGAATTTGGAGCAGACTGCTTTTGAGAACACGAGACTGTTAGAAGGATATTGACAGAGTGAGTCTGGAGCAGACGGCTATGTGTAATTTCATTGACCTTTGTATTTTTTCTATGAAGGAGTAAGTGGCTGTTTTTCATTACCAGACACTAAATGATGTTATGGCTTTAATCTCGTCTCTTTTGTTACCGTATTGTTCTGTGGGCATCGAGCACACATCTGTCTATATTTTCCATACCAGACTGTCTTGGGATTGTGTGTTATTCTTGTGGGCAGAATTGCAAAGGTGCC